CTTCCGTTGGAAACGAACTAAATCCCAAAACGGCTAGTACACCGCCGCTCTCCCAGGTGTAAGCTAGTCCGACAATATATTCAGTTTGTCCATCTCTGAAGAATGTCAGCAAACTGACTAAATACTCTCTATTTTACCATCCATTATCCATATATACTGATTAACTTGTGCTCTTTATCGTTTCCTTTTTGTCACCACCATTATTCTACTTATTTCTTGTAGCTGAGTCTTCTTCTGGTAAGTTTCTCTATCATACAATCTATCTTTCAATTGATAGTGTTTACATTAATATTTAATTTTCTTGCAGACAACTGGAAACTCATCCTCTCCACTCCTGATCCTTTGATAGGTGAGCATATTTCCCCTTGTTTCATAACTGAATTGCATGATGCTATTCAGCTTGTTTATTTCCACAGATCCAATGAAGAAGGCATTCGAGCAAACACCATACATAGATGATCTTGGTATCTTACAGCATTTTGAAAAACATATTGATGACTGTGCAGGCAAATGGACAGAAGCTCAGCATAATTATGATGTTTATTATGCACCATATACTGTTCTTTTCCAAGGATCTGGGACTGGAAAGACAAGACTTCTTCATCAGCTTGCTCAAACACACTTTCTTTTATACTTGTGCTTTTGTGAACCTACTAGCTCAGGACTTCCACCAGCAACAGACCATTTTTGCATGACAAAAGAGAATGCAATTGTTAATGCAGTAGCCTTTTTCTATGTTTGTATATAATATATTGATAAACTGAAGATTGGAACTGTCAGAAACACTCCAAAAAATTTGAATCTGATATTGTAAACAAAGCTTCAGAATTAGTAGAAGACTGGAAAAGAAGCTCAAATGAGTATGAGTTGAATCAGATGAGGACATAGAACAATTCTGTACAAGAAAAGTTGCAAGCCTTTGGAGTAAAGTTGAACCAAATTTATTGAAGACTGTCAAAACAAAAGCAAAACTCATATTTGCATTTGATGAATCATGGTCCTTGCTACAGAAACCATCTTCGGGAGAAACCACACAGGTTGTACAGTTTGTCCATGTTCGTCAAGCCTTATGTTGTCTTCCTTCAGGAGTTTTTGCTGTATTTGCTGATTGTCAAGCCTAGGTCTTAAAGGCAGTGATTTCCGCTCAATAGTACGAACATTTCCGTCTGCGGCACATTGAATTTCTGCGGCTAATCGATCGGCAAAAT